GGCGGAGGAGGAGGACGGGGAGGAGGAGGAGGAGGAGGAGGAGGAGGAGGAGAAGGAGGATGATGCTCGCGCGGGCATCTCTCTGCAGCAGCAAGGCGCAACCATTATTGCACCCGAGAAACTCAAATCTCAAATATGAGAATAATAGTACTCCACCGAAAGTGTAAGTACCCATTCGTGAGAATTTTATGAGGAATTTCGCGAAAATGGGGCGTAATTTACATGGTGGAATCGACCCCTAGATCACGCCTGTAGCTCATCTGTAGCGCAATCGGTGTTAAGGGTACTTTATTAATTTTAACCCCTAAGAAACCCACCCCCGCACGTGACATTAGATGGGCGCTGCGGGCCAAATCGACCATTTTAGTGTTAGGAACAACTAATCAGCTTGCCAAGTGACTTGCTGGTGTCACAATTCGCAGTTTAATTTCTCGTACCGCTAGTACTAGAGGTCAAGTAAGTGATGGAGATATAAACGCGTTGGCTCAACTGAGTTTATTTAGTTCATGCTTGCGTTCAGGGTGCCTTTTTCTTTCGCGGTAAAGTGCTAGCTGGGCCCCAGGCTTTCAGGCTTTCATGGAATCTCAAACAAGCCGGTGCGAAGCTTACTGCAAGCGCTGACTGCCACGGCCAGGGCGAGCGCCACGTGCCATTCAGCACAGCCAAGCATGCAGCGGTCATTCATGCAAAGGTATTGTTGCGAGCAGTTCGTTTATTGTTGTTCCGTGTACACTGCGCCTATTGTCATTATTGTAAACATCGGACGTCATACTCAAAATGCAAAGATGCACATTTAATTCCCTGATCAGTGTAAGTCAAAGTACTACTGTGTACATAGCTTTTGCGCATAGTTTACGTAAAATTTCAAAAGGATTTGTTCACAAAATCTTACATAATTATGTTGAAACTGTGCATTGGTTGCGCTATTATTTAATGTTTTTAATCAAGTGCTGACAACTTTTGTCGTGCCGTAGCTGCGTCAGCATTGCACGCGAGGCGCGTCAAACGGCTAATAATGGTTTTAGCCCGCACGCTTGCTGTGCCAGTGCCAGAAAGCGTTGCAGAGAGTTAGGACTCATCGACACCGTTAGTACACCAGCGGTACGAGGCCGATATCAAATATTTACTGCAAATTGTGACACCAGCAAGCCACTTGGCACAGTTGTTCCTATCACCAAAATGGTCAATTTGGCCTGCTGCGCCCCTATCTCAGGTCACGTGCGGGGTTGGCTTTTTCAGTGGTTGAATAAGTTTAAAAGTACCCCTAACACCTATTGCGCTGCAGATGAGCTACAGACGTGATCTAAAGGTCCACTATTATTGCAGCTGAGAAACTCAAATATGACAACAATAGTACGCCACCGGAAGTGTAAGCACCCATTCATGAGAATTCTATGAGAAATTTCGCGAAAATGGGGCGTTATTTACATGGTGGAATCGACCCCTAGATCACGTCTGTAGCTCATCTGTAGCGCAATCGGTGTTAGGGGTACCTTTTTAACTTCTAGGCCTACCCCCGAAAAAACCCACCATAATACCTAGTATACATAGGTAATCCGGTGTACACATTTTTTTGGAGTTAGGCACGCCTCGGAAAATTCATATCTCAACGAGGCCGACACCGTGGGTCTCGCCTCGGCCGCACATCCCCTCTGGTTGACAGTTTCCTTTTTATACCGCTCAAACTGCTTTAGTGTTCCGGTGGTCCAAGATGACAATCGTACTCGTAGTCTTAGCACTAGCAAGCCAGGCAGGCATCGAGGGCAAATCTACCATAAACTCTTTTGCGGTAAGTTATGAAAGAATCTATTTTGATTGCCCCTGTGCCCCCGAAAATAACTTACCCTAGTTAAATTAAATCTACAGGGTGGTCCACAGACCCCTTCCTTTATTTTGCTTATACTGTACCGCATGCAGGCTTGCGGACGGGCTTGCCTACCGTCGCTCTCCACGGCG